ATGTGTGAGGGACTGGGTTCAATCCTCAGCACCACATTAAAAAATTACATAAAGATACTGTGTGTTCATCTACAACTAAATAAATATTTTTTTAAAAAGATGTTTATTTTGGCTCATGGCTCTGGTCCAAGGTTGATTGGGCCCATCTGATGATGATATTCTTATTGGCAGAGTACCAAGATGGCACAGGATATCACATGGCAAGAGAAAGAAAGCACATGAGAGATTTAGTCAAATTGTTTTTTATAGCAGACCCACTATCAAGATAACCCATTAATCCATTAATCACCTGAATGGGTTAACTCATTCATGAGGACAGAACCCTAATCACCTTTTAAAGATCCCATCTGGTCCTACTGCTTGATGTCTCACACTAGGAATTAGATGTCAACATGACTTTCAGAGGGGACAAACCAGAGCAGAGGTTAAGAATTCAGAGTTTGCTATAGTAAATAATAAAGGTTATCACTCAACTATTTCTTAAGTCATGTCTACTTTTTCAGCTATGTCATGAGGACATTGGTCAAACTAGAGCCACTAGCTCTAGGTGTAGGTATTACAAGTACAATCTGTACAGTATAACAATAATCTTCCTAGTGAATAGAGTTGTCCATCCTTAAGCAAAACCAGAGGCTAATTTATCAAAGATGCTGAAGAGAGGATTTCTTTCTTTATTTTATGGTTCTGGGGATCAAACCCAGGGCCTCACACATGCTGGGCAGGTGCTCTACCACTGTACTGCATCCTAGCAGAGGAGATAATTTCTTAATAAGAAGAAGTTGGACAATGACTTCTTAACATCCCAGACTCTAAAAAATATGGAAAAAGATTCTTGATAAATAATCAATTATTTGATAGTGTACATTTTATAACCTATGTATAAGTCCGTAGCTGCAGTTCATTTTAAATTAATGATATGCCTACATAGTGTTTATTTAAGAATGGAGATTAGAACTTTATTTTGGCTAAAAGTTTATGGGAAATAGAATGATTTATTGATTTAGATAAACCTTAATTATTTCTAGATTTGAGTTTTCCTTTATTTTGCAGTATAAACCATGTAGAAATGAATGTTATGATGCATTTTATATATGGAGGAATTTTGGACTTTCCAGACAAAGCTAATGTTGGGTATGTATTACTTTTTAATAAGCTTAAATATAAAAGTGTTAATATTTTACAGGTTCTGCTTTGTTGAGCTATGTTGCAGTATCAGTGAAGCAGAAGCTTCACTTTTTTTCTTCTTTTGAGATGGGGTCTTGCTATTTTCCCAGACAGATCTCCTGAGCTCAAGTGATCTTCCTAAATTAACCTCCCAAGTGTGGAATTTATAGGTGTGTGTCACCTTGCTTGACTCTGAAGCTTCACTTTTATTATCAATTTTGCTAGCTATATTTTGAGTGTGTGTGGAAAATATCTAAAAACAATAAGAAAAGCTGAATAACTTACAGTAATAAGATTAAGAAAGGTCTTTTAGACTTAAATTATTTTAGAAAAATCTTACTTTGGAAAATAAATGAGAGTTTTTTATAAAAATAAAATCAATTTTTTGTCAAACTTTGAATGTTATTATACTTCTATATTTTTAAAATTTAGGTTGTCTTTTTTAAACAGCAAAAGAAAAACATTAAAATTTATTTCAGAATATAAAGGCATGCAAAGACCAACAAGTATGTGATTCTTACATGTTGTATACTGAAATACCATCTAAACTTCTGAAATTCTACTGGAGAGTGAAATTCTACCTTACTCTTCCAATTTTCTGTTGGTATTTTAGTAGCAAACGAGTGAAAGATGCTTTTTTAATTTTAAAGAATCGTTGGGGTTCCTCTAATTTTGAATCGAATAAATACATTTTGGGGGAGAACATATCATAGGTCACAGAAATTAAGTACCAATATTTTATCCCCAGGCAACCTATAGGAAAGTTTATGTTCTCAAAACGTATAGGCTGTCTAAATACTGGAAGCTTGTGTATGTGCTCAGAAGTACTTACCAGATGAAAGAAGTAAAGGCAACTCTGCAGTCATTACATGCGTTCTAATCTTGGAGTCATTTGTAGGCATTTTCAATAACCATCAATAACCATGATAACCATCAGTGAATTCACTCCCCAAACTATTATTGCACAAATCTGCTGCGCAGATTTTTGTAACATTTACAACTTTCAAAGCAGTTTCCTAAAAATCTTGTTCTATATGTTACTGAGAAAATGAGGGGAATTTGAAATATCTCCAGATTTACTTGTTATTCACATTAAGTGAATCAGTGTCAGTGCTTTCCATATTTTGGCCTGTGTTGTCGTTATAGTCCATAAAGAATATTTATTATGTGAAGCAAAAAGTTAGAACTAAAGTAATTCAAATTATTTTTAAAGAGTATATGTTATCAAGAAATCACTGTGTATTATGGTTTGATTTTTATATTGGAGAATTAACAAGTGCATCTATTTTCATTTTAGTCAGATACTCAATATGGCTGATATGTATGGACTAGAAGGACTAAAAGAAGTAGCAATCTATATTTTAAGAAGAGATTACTGTAATTTCTTTCAGAAGGTAATTATTGAGTCTCAGAAATCTTTACCCAGTACTTTAAGTCACCCATTATTACCTACTAGATTTAAGATTTTTGTTGTAATAGTACTTTAAATATAAAAAAATTAGTTTATAACTAATGGGGGTTCCAAATGACAGCACATATGGTGTCCTTTCAAAAATCAGAAACTAGTTAAAATATTTTAAGTGAAATAAAATTGATTTGGGAGGGTTATTGAAAGGATTTAGGATTTGACACTAGGAGAAAGGAAGTCAAGAAATATAGTTATCTTCTCCTTTTATCAAAGAGTTACACCATGGTTCATTGATTCTTTCCCCTAAAAGTATGTACTTTCTTTGTACCACTTCTTTGGAGAATGTACTTAGTTTTCTTCTACAATCTCTCCATATGGAGTATGAATACTGATTGTTTTTTATTTTAGTTTACGCAAAGGTCAATTTACTGTCTAAAGAAATATTCCATTTTATGCATTCCAACCCCCCTTGGGACATTATTCTTAGATTCTTCATTGGGTTGTTTTTTGTTCTGCTTTTTTGCCATGCCGGGGATTGAATCCAGGGCCTTCTCTTGCAAGACAAAAGCCTTACCACTGAGCTACATCCCTGGTCCACTTCATTCTTTCAATGTACTTTGTAACTGTAGGTTATTTCTATTTTCTCATTTATGCCTTTCTAAATTGTGTAAATTTCCTACAATGATCACATAATCATCAACAAAAAAAAAACCCAGCAAAAACAAATTTTGAAAGAACTGTTTACATTGTACTTCCCTTTTACTGGGTATGTGAGGAAATAGTATGCATTATATGACTTTTAATTAGGTAATTTTAAGTACACTTAAATTGCAATGGGTTGTAGCTCAGCGGTAGAGTACTCGCCTAGTGCATGTGAGGCCCTGGGTTCGATTCTCAGCACCACATAAAAATAAATAAATAAAGGTATTTTGTCCAACTATAGCTAAAAAATAAATCTTAAAAAAAAGGACATTTAAATTTAGATTTTTGTGTTGGATAGGACTTTTCCTCCCTCCCCATAAATTGTAACTGAGGAAGCAGCCCATATGCTAAAAGAGAGCCATGAACAGCTGGGTTCACGAATGCCATCATTACCCCTCTGCAGAGTTTACTGAGAAACAGTTAAACCCCTCATGTAGTTTTGACCAATGATTCACTCCAGCCTTCATAATTAAGGGGATTGAAAAAAGGAAGGCAATATGTGGTCTCCTCAGCTTTGTGGAGAGAGAATAATTGTAGTGAAAGCCTTTTCTTTCTCCTGCACATGCCTCCCCTATTTTCCTAAAATGAAAGTTAGGAGGGAGATCCAAGTGAATCATATATAAAAAATAAAGATAGGAAGTAATTGCAACAAGGATAGGATGCCTTCATGTCCCAGTTGGACATTTACTATATCCATAAAACTAGCCCATCCTGGGCCTTCCATCATGGAAGAAAAGAAAGTGATAAGCGATTTCTTGGGGGAACTTGGAATAGGCCTGAAAAGCCTATGAGAATAACCTTAATGTGGATATTTCTAAAGGTAGGAGGCTTGCTGGACAAGCTAGAACTATCCTGGTGTTAAGGGACTATAGTTATTGTTATGTAGAAAAAAAAAAGTTGAAGAGTCTACTCTCCACCCCATTTACACATGATCTACAGGGAAGGAGGAGGACCTTAGTAGTTCCACGAAAGAGGATACTGAATCAAGACCAGAAAACAGTGTCCCACTTAGGCAGACATCATACATCATGAACCCTTAGAAGAGTCCTTAAACACCGAGAGGCAGTGGTGAATTTTTTTTTTCCCCCTAAAAGAGCCACCACCTCAGCAAAGGCCACCAGCATCTGAGAGCAAAGTCAAGGACAACACCCTATTACCATCTTAGTCTCTGCTTAGTTATGTAAAATGACCACAGCTACCAATGGGCATCTTCCTTAGAGTTAGACCTAAAAAATGGAGGAGCAGGAGACCAGATTATGTTCTACTCCCTATTGCCGATCTCACCAATCATGAATCTAGTCAATGTTATGGAGAGAAAGATTTAGATAGATATTAAAACAGTACTCTACTGAATTTTAACAATAAAACCAGAAAGCTATGGAATCTGCTTATTGTATTAAGAATTGCAATGCAAAAGAATTATGAATGTAATGCACTCCTCTAATGTGATGTATGTAAGAAATAATTAAAAAAAAATTTTTAAAAGATGTGAAAAATTGGGGATTTGACATAGCTAGGTAAAAAGCATTAGTTTGAAAAAAAATATGTTTTATGTTAGTATCTCCTCTGAGCTGATACTTCTCAGTAAACTAGTTAATCTAACATAAAAATAATCTTATGAATAATTTTAGACCATTGCCTCTATTTTTATACATTCAGGAGTATATGAGTTATATGCAGCTTCTTGTATTTTACTTTTAGTGATCCACTTTATTTTATTGTTTTATATCAGACAGGTAATATACTGACATTGTAACACTGTTTGAAGGAGGCACATCTCAATGATATAAAAACTCAGTCACCACACTTATGAACAACAAAAGGATCCCCACTTAATTTTAAACCCAAGGGCATATTTGTTTCTATTAAAACAACAGAAAGTGTTTCTTTTTAAATTAACAGTGTAGTATTTTGTTGAAAAATTTTTTTATTGTATTTTATTTATTTTAATATAGTTTGTATTACTGTGGTAATAAATATTTGAGAGAACAGTTTGTTTTTATTGACCTGATCTTTAAACTTTCTTGTTTTTCATATTTTAAAAATATGTATTTTTATAATATACTTTTGAATATATAAATTTTTTCAAAAAATTTTAGTTGTAGACAGACATAATAACTTTATTTTATTTTTTTAATTTTATTTATTCATTTAGTTATTGATGGACCTTGATTTTTTTATTTATATATGGTGCTGAGAATCGAACCCAGTGCCTCACACATTCCAGGCAAGCACTTTACCACTGAGCCACAACCCCAGCCCATAACTTTATTTTAATTATTTATTTTTTTTATATGGTGCTGCGGATCGAACCCAGTGCCTCACACATGCTAGACAAATGTTCTACCAACTGAGCTACAACCCCAGCCTGACTTTTGAATATATATAATTTTTAAGTTTTATTTCTCACTTATGCAGTCTCTTGGCAGTGACTTAAGTATCATAAATTTATCATAAGATACCCACAGTAAAACAAATATAGGTATAATATGATAGACAACTGGCCTCACAATTCTTGACTGGAGATAGTTTTAGTCATTTCATTAACTTCATAATCCTGCCTTTCATACATTTAAATTTGGGGGAGGCTTCATTTATGGCATTATAGTGGATATATATTTACTTTATATGCATACATATAGTCACCAATTAAAAATATATTTTAGAAAATAATTTCAATATTTATCTTCCCACATTCTGTAAGCAGGTTTTTGAAAATGACTAAAGGTCAATCATGCCGTTACAAAAAAAAACCTTGGGAATCAGCAATTCCCTATAAATAAATTCTCAAAGAGCCAAAGTTATCCCTTTAAGCCAAGAGTCAGCAGGTTTTTCTCTGTAAAGGCACTTAGTGAGACCCTGTCTCAAAAATTTAAAAAAAGAGAAAAGGGCTGGGGATGTGTAGCTCAGCTGTAAAGCACCCCTGGATTGAATCACCAGTACCCACCCACCTCCCGCCCCGAATTTCAGGCTTTGTGAATCCTCTTGTCTATACAGAACTGTGCTCTGATGTTAGAGATCAACATATAAATGAAGTAACATGCCAGTATTCTGGTAAAATTTTATTCACAAAACCAGTGATGGACTACATTTTCCCCACAGGCTGAAGTTTGCCAGTCTTCTGCTTTAAGCAACAAGTTTTTTTAAATATACATTTTGACAATTACAGAAATTACTATTGTTATAAGATCACTAGACTTCATGTTATATAAGGCTGGTTTTTTCTAAGAAAAATTAGATTGTTGAACTTTTTAACTTGTACATACTTTTATAATTTTTCAGACTTCTGAGTATTCTGAGTCTGCTATACTAATTTGATACTCTTCTATGAATTGTTCAGAAAATCAAATTATATCTAGGGTTGTAGCTCTGTGGTAGAGTGCTTTCCTTGCATGTGTGAAGTACTGGATTTGATCCTTAGCACCACATAAAAATAAGTCAGTAAAATAAAGGTATTGTGTCCATCTACAACTAAAAAGTATATATATATATAAAAAAAGAAAACCAAATTATTTAACTTGGTAGAATTATCATCATATAACCTGTAATAGTGATAGTCATTTCTGATTTCAGGAACTCCAATTATCTTATAGGGATTTTAATTAAATTTAAATTTAATTTAAATTGTTAATATGCAAAATATTTACATTTAGTTCTTAAGTACTACTAGAACACTTTTTTCTTTATTTTTTCTTTTGATACCAAGGATTGAACCCTCCCCAGCCCTATTTTTTTTAAGTTGTTGATAGACCTTTATTTTATTTTTTTGTGTGTGTTGCTGAGAACTGAACCTGGTGCCTCATACCTGCCAGGCAAGTGCACTACCACTGAGCCACAGCCACCTCAGCCCTTTTTTAATTTTGAGACAGGGTCTTGCTAAGCTACTTAGAGCCCTGCTAAATTGCTGAGTAGCTTTGTACTTGCAATCCTCCTGCCTTAGACTCCCAATACAGGCATGTGTCACTGTGCCCGCCCTATAATACTTTGTACTAGAAGATTAATAGTACTAGAAGATTAAATTAATAGATTAATTTGATAGAAGATTAAATTAGTTTAATTAAGAATAAATTAAAAGTTGGAAATTACTGACCTTATTGGAAGAATTATGCCAGAGACATTTCTAAAGAAGGTTTTTCTCTGCTTTGAGAACAGGGGATCTTTGGAAGTATATATTTAGAGACTAGATATATAAATTGACTTTTTGCTGGTCTTGAACCCTAGCTCACAACGAATGAATGTGTATAAAGAGAAATTCAACCTATTGGGGAAATAGATGTGTCTAGGAACAGTTCAAAACCTGAAAATACATGGCATGGGCAATACATAGCACATATGCTTAATACCAAGAGCAATAGGTTGTTTTCCCTATTTGTATCTACCTTTTGTTTAATTAATTACTTTTATATATGTGCTTTAAAAAATGTTATATTATAGTTTAATTAAAGTCTCTTTTTATCCAAGATCAGCATACGGGCTTTGTTACATTTTGTTAAAATTGAGAGAAAGGTATAGAGATAGCTTATATACCCATACCTCCACATATTATCAGAATTTTTTTTACCAGAGTTATACATTTGATACAATTGATGAACTTACATTGACACATCATTATCACCCAAGTCTATAGGTTTTAGAATTCACTCTTGGTATTATATATTCCATGAGTTTGGGCAAATGTATAATCACATGTATCTGACATCACATATATGTGATCTTTTTACTGTCCCCATAGATTTGATTTTTTTCTTAGTGTTACATAGTTGAAATCATATAGTAGATAACCTTTTCAGATTGACTTCTTTTTTTGTGTGTTGGAAATTGAACTCAGGACACTCAACCCCTGAGCCACATTCCTAGCCCTATTTTGTATTTTATTTAAAGACAGGGTCTCACTGAGTTGCTTAGCACCTGGCTATTGTTGAGGCTGGCTTTGAACTTGGGATCCTCCAGTCTCAGCCTTCCCGGCTGCTGGGATTACAGGAATGTACCAGTGCACCCAGCTCAGATTGACTTCTTATTAATATTCATTTAGTGATATTTATTCAAATTTCCTCCATGTCTTTTCTTGACTTGATAGCTCATTCAGTGTGAGTATTCCATTGCTTGCATGTACTATAGTTCATTTATCCATTCACCTACTAAAGGATATCTTGGTTGCTTCCAAGTTTCAGGAATAATGAGTAAAGCTGCTTTAAACATCTTTATATAGGTGTTTGTGTGGAAAGGTATTTTTAAGAAAATTTGAGACGTTAACTACACAGCATGCCTATAGGCAGAGTTCCAACAGAAGTTAATTTCAGATACAGAACTAAGTATAGAAAATTGGTTTTTTAATTCATCAGATTTTGAATTGTATGTATTTACAGTTTAGATATATGTCACATTTTCTTTATGAACCAAATACTTTTACCCTCTGCAAACCAAAAAAAGAATAAAAGCAATGTTTTCTATCAATTTTAGCCCATTTCCAGAACATTGACTTCTATACTGGAATGCCTAATTATTGCTCATTCAGTTGGAGTGGAAAGTCTTTTTGCTGACTGCATGAAGTAAGTTATATTAAGAAGTGCTGCTGTTATAAATTTAGGGATTTTGTTCTTTTATTTTTTTTTATTTTTATTTTTTTTTAATTTATTTTTTAATTGGTTGTTCAAAACATTACAAAGCTCATGACATATCATCTTCCATACATTTGATTCAAATGGGTTATGAACTCCCATTTTTTACCCCAAATATAAGTTGCAGAATCACATCGGTTACACATCCACATTTTTACATAATACCATATTAATGACTGTTGTATTCTGCTACCTTTCCTATCCCCTACTATCCCCCCTCCCCTTCCCTCTCATCTTCCCTCTCTACCCCATCTGCTGTTGTTTAATTCTCTCCCTTGTTTTTTTTTTCCCCTTTCCCCTCACAAACTCTTATATGTAATTTTGTGTAACAATGAGGGTCTCCTTCCATTTCCATAGTTTCCCTTCTCTCTCCCTTTCTCTCCCCCCACTCGTCTCTGTTTAATGTTAATCTTTTCCTCATGCTCTTCTTCCCTGTTCTGATCTTAGTTGCTCTCTTTATATCAAAGAAGACATTTGGCATTTGTTTTTTAAGGATTGGCTAGCTTCACTTAGCATAATCTGCTCTAATGCCATCCATTTCCCTGCAAAATCCATGATTTTGTCATTTTTTAGTGCTACGTAATACTCCATTGTGTATAAATGCCACAGTTTTTTAATCCATTCATCTATTGAAGGGCATCTGGGTTGATTCCAAAGTCTAGCTATTGTGAATTGTGCTGCCTTGATCATTGATGTGGCAGTATCCCTAAAGTATGCTCTTTTAAGGTCCTCAGGGAATAGACCGAGAAGGGCGATAGCTGGGTCAAATGGTGGTTCCATTCCCAGCTTTCCTAGGAATCTCCATACTGCTTTCCATATTGGCCGCACCAGTTTGCAGTTCCACCAGCAATGTACAAGTGTACCCTTTTCCCCACATCCTCGCCAGCACTTGTTGTTGTTTGACTTCATAATGGCTGCCAATCTTACTGGAGTGAGATGGTATCTTAGGGTGGTTTTGATTTGCATTTCTCTGACTGCTAGAGATGGTGAGCATTTTTTCATGTACTTGTTGATAGATTGTATGTCCTCCTCTGAGAAGTGTGTGTTCAGGTCCTTGGCCCATTTGTTCATAGGGTTGTTTGTTATCTTGTTGTTTAATTTTTTGAGTTCTTTGTATATTCTGGATATTAGGGCTCTATCTGAAGTGTGAGGAGTAAAGATTTGTTCCCAGGATGTAGGTTCCCTATTTACCTCTCTTATTGTTTCTC